AATGCATTAAAGTTATTATAATATTTTCTGAATATTGTTACTTCAGGCACAGAGTCGCACGCGCGTGCGCGCGCGTGGGGTCGAACACTGTCGAAGATACGCGATCGGGCTATGAAAAATATCTACTAGAAAATATCAGGTACAATTAAATCATCATCTCCGTAGTCCTCATTGTATTCTTCAGCTCCGGGCGGCACGAAAATTCCACCGAGTACACCCGAGAGATTTTCACCTAACCCCATCGCCGAGGCTACTCCAAAGACCAATCTCATCACCAATAGCCGCATAAAATTTACCACGTTAGTTTCTTTGCTCTGCAATGACAGCTGCGTCGTTTTCTTTGATCTGCTATCTGCATATCGAATCTGTGAATTAAATAATTCAAAATAATTTTCGAAAGTCGTCAAAGTTGTTGTCAAAAAGTAATTAAAAAGCTTTTAAAAAAAGGAAGACGTAAATTTACTCAAAAGTAGTCTGATTTCATTTAAGTAAACGATTACCTGAGGTATTTTATACTCCATGTATAAAAAAGTACATCCCATATGTTGTTAATAATTGTTATTATTAACAACATATTGCATATTGATTCTTTTTAAATTTATTTTGAGAATAATTATAGATATGGATTTAATCACAATTTTGGAAAAAAGTATAAATAGAAATCAAACCAATATTAAATGGAATAAATACGTTAAGTAGCTGAGTATTTCTTAAAAATAAAACTTTTAATTAATATAACATTTTTTAATTTATTGCGAGTTTTCGATAGAATTTATTTAAAGATTTGACAAGAATAGTTATTAAAAAGAAAGAAAATATATTAAGTAACATCCATATTAAATAATAATATTTTACAATTTACTTTTTCTCTACTGGAATATAAAAACACTCAGTGCAGACTATTCTCGGATTAAATAAATCCATTACGCGCGCAAAATCTATATCAACTGATCAAACCTACTTATGAGATACGTTACATATCGACTGTAAACATTGTATAATGATAATAGAATAGTAATTTGAATACATTATTAAATGCTATTAATGTGATATCCAATAGAAGACAATTTGAAGATGAATCTAATCTGAAAAAAGAAAAACAAAAAAATTTGCAAAAATTTATACTCACGCTCGTGCAGATGAACAAAATTCCTAATAAAACTATTCGAGCTCTCATACTGCGCTTCTTGGTATGCGCGATAATGACTTCCGGTAATGAGGGAGCTGGTCAGTCCTGTAACAGTTCGATAGCGATCGACGTTTATCCAGGAAAACGACGTCGCGATATTTACATACGAGCGAGGCATTCGCGCGAGAAACGACCTATCGCGCTGCGTTCGCCGAACAGAACTGAGGAAAATCGAACAAGCGCCAATCTCTGCGAGTCGGCCTTTTTTCTACTATGCGTCGTGTCTCGAGAAGAGAAGCGTGGCATAGCTATAGTTGAAATACAATTATTCGCTCCCCCAGCCGACCAAGCGAAATCGACGCGTCGTCGATATATACACTGACTATAAGATCGCAGAACCTGAGTTATTCTACGATAACGGTACATTACGAAAAAAGGCATCCAGGCCAGTCTCGGACGGCTTCGCACGTCGCACGCCATAAGGTCGGACGCCAGTCATCGGACGCTTCAACAACCTCAGCTCGCTTCGCGTCGTGATGTCCGACATGCGCGTTTATCGCTACATCACGCATTTTCACGCTGAATCTAAGCAAATACTCATTATCTAGCGCAATCATGACGAAGTTTTGACAGCTAGATTATTTAGCGAAATCTTAGGAAATACTATTACCTCAAAGTGCGTATCATATATTATTGGCAATTAGCAGTTTTTTCGTTTATATCTAAAGATTATTTGCAAAAGCATTACTATTTTTATTTTATTAATAACAAAAACGCAAAATTTGATTATTATTTTTTAGCTAAACTGAAAAAATTATCTGATATGATTCTAACGAGAAGAATGAGAGTTGAAGAAAATATATCGCACAAAGTTGAATGACATAGAACAATATGGATCAGATAGAAACTAAAATATGAACAAGTTTTGTAGATTTATTAGTAATTCATTAGTTTTGTGGATTTTAACATTATATTGAATTAATTTATTCAAAAGTATCAACATTTGAATTCGTACGATAATGCACAATATTCGCAGTCGATGTATTCTACTAATTTGTATCTATAATCTTCCGATTATTATCAACCCTGTGCTATTGGCCTGCTTCTTACGCGGGAAAATGATGCATGGTAGATCTCTAGGAGTTGCATACTGTTAGAAAACGCACGAGAAATTAGCCTGAATTGTAAGCGCCGATGAAATCTGGCACGGATCGTTAACTGGCGCATCATCCATTCGTGCCGTATATTACGCGATGTGTTACGAAATTTTTTTGCCCATCGTAACCTCGTCGTTCTCGTGGCTATCTTGGATATTTATACTCGAGAAAACCACTTTCGAACTACTTGTGTATGTGGAAGATACGTCTACAATTAACAATCTAATTCCAATATTATATATAACTAGTGAATTAATTTTAGTTTCTTCTTTTTAGTTTCTTTTTTTTTCTATTCATTACTATGGTGATTATTATTAAATAAAGATTTGTATTAAATAAAATTAAAAAATAGAAAAGATATAAAAGAGCGTTTAATATAAGAGTTTCTTTAAACGATACAGACTCTTGTATTTATCAAAATAATTGAAGAACTGCTAAAAAGACATGATAGTAACGTAATTTTCTTATTACTAAATGAGAAAGTATGAAAGATAATGTATTAGATTTTAGAATTGCGTATATGAGGTATTATTTTACAAATCGAACATCTAATATGGGGTAACATTTTTAATTTACTACAAAATTTTTTACGCGTTTTCTATATAAAATAAGCCGATACGTATTTTGGCAATTTTTTTTGTCAATATTT